GGAGGTGAGGGGGGGGGGGGGGGGGACCAGATCTAAAATCCTAGGCCAAAACTCGAACTTCTTCGCTAAGGCTAATGAAAACTGGTCACCCCCACCATGGGGAGATGAAACCTCATCGATATTCTTGCTACCTTCCCCCCTGCATGACAAAGACTTGGAAGAAGTGTCAGACACGACTCTCCCCATTGAAACTTTGGATCTCATCCTAGAGTGCAAAAAGGACAGATTCAAAGCATAGTCCGTTAAAAATTATGGAACTAAACACCAAGATCTAACCAAGGACAGCCTCAGCAAAAGAAGGTAGTCAACAAACCGAGAAAGACAGGCAAAATTGCCAGAATGTCGCCTGAAGAAACTAAACCTCCAAATTATAAAACGAAATCCAAGACCCCACCAACTGGCGTACCTAATGGGCGGCTAGGATCAATTGGCGTAGGACAAAGGCACAAACGTTCTTAGAAATATTGGAGGAACAGGGAAATCTCCTTTGGACCTAGAGAAGGCGAAAGAGTGTGAAAAGTCAAAAATTTGAAATTATGATGAAAAATCGAGGTGCACCCCTTTTGTTTTTAACCAGGCGTAAGGGAGAGCCGTACCAGGGAAACCATCACCGCATGGCGCATGTACTCCCTTGACACGATTATCAAATCGAAGTAAGTATGGGGGGTTAAATTTACTGTTAAGGTGACACTAGTAATCATGAAAAATCATCATCCCCAAAATAATCATTGTGGCAAACAGGTTGGGCTTAACCCCAAGTAGGAGCATGAAGGTCATTCTCCTATCCTAGGCCTAGGGGGCAATTGATAATAGTCAGTTTAAGTTTGGACCCTTTTGAGCCCAAGACCCTTCGAGCCCACAAATAGTGGCCCAAGAAGCCCATATAGGCAAATACCCCCTGGGCTAGAATTACACCACCCTGCCAAGCAAGGACGTGACCAAGAGAAACTCGAGATTAATGAGCTTGGCAAGGTCAACCTAAAAAGCTACAAAGGGACACACGTCTAGGGGAGAAGGGAACATAATCAGACGATTCTAATGAAAAGTTACCCATAGGTAGTGAAGACTGATTAAGGACAACAAACTTCATATAGTGGAATTAGAAATGTTTTGAACCACAGTGCCAAGGTAGAAACAAATATAGAGAAGACCACAGGATCTGCCAAGAAGGACGAATGTGAAACCCTAACTATCGATAGTATAAATAGTTGAGAGTGCTACAATGCACATAGACGAAAATACCAGTAAGCAACCAAGAGAGAATCAAGTGATATTTTGTAACAACTTCAAGGCTTACTCTCTGTAACAGTCGCCATCTTCTTCAAGTAATAAAACCTCTCTAATGTCTAAGAGTCTTCCTTACCATGGATATAACTTTAGTCCATCCACTAAGACGAACCATTTAAGTTCTGTCTTGTCTTCATTGTTTATTTATCGTATACACTTTTACATACACCCACTTAAGCATACACACGTACATTAGGCCCCGTGCTTTTCTGCCCGTTAGTTTCAAGCACCAAGTTGGATACCCTTAATAGGTTTCGGGAGATATTATGAACAGTAATTCCGATCAAAAAGTATTTCCACTTGTACAGAAAAAGAAGATTGTTCTAGGATTTGTTTGATTTAAACTTCACAAGTTGTTTTCATCATGTGGAAGTGGATTGCACGCAAGTGCGTAGACATCAAAATCAAGAAAAAAAGCACATTTTTTTCTGTAGTCAAGGTCAAGAAAAAGAGAAAACTGAAAGTCTTTTACGCGTTTGGCATTAGACGCAAAAGATGCAGTTGATCAGCCAGGAAAACACTACTGTCGCACTACTTCTGTCATTAAATATAATTAATCAACTCAAGCATAATTACAATTTAATTGAGTATATTTTTATCGGCTATATTTTATTTTTTTTAAACGAACAAGGGTGTTCAGGTTAAATTACGGCGCATCTCAACTAATTCTCTCACTGATATAGTCAAAAATAGGTAATTCATACTGAGACTTAAAAATTAATGAGGAATAAATCTCTTTATGGCCTGATTTCAAGAAATTATCAAAATTCACAGTTAGAATATTTGAGTTTACAACTTGTCCCTGTTATCACTGAGAATAAGTGTATCCAACTTGAGGTCCAAATATAGGTTTAGGTTAACCATATGCAGTGATTAGGACTCAAAAGGGCTCGCCAAGAAAAGAGAACGTCATTTGGGATTATCATTATGTTTTTTTAACATATATATCCCTATCCCCCTGCAAAGTTTCGACGTGAGACTTGGCACAAGTTGGATACCTTGTTTTGTTACCACTTGGGTCCTAATCACTGTATATGGTGTCAGAACCGATCAGTGTAAACTATCATGTGGATTCGGAGGCACTGCAAGATGGGTTCGTGTTCATCACACTATCCACAATCAATCCTAATATCTGTGATCATCGATTATAGGTCCCTCGTGGGCGAGAGGACATAAGAGAGATTGTAACATATTTTTCCCCTTGTTTTTTTTTTTGTTGGTTGTGTTTGTTATTAGATTCTTTTTTCACTAAGAGCTGGAACAAGAATGATAGAAATGGTGATTCTTTTCAAACCTTGTTTTGGCTCCTTTGGGGGTTTACGAATGTACGTTTCATGGATGTCATTGGATTAAGTAGTGTTCAATGTTCATTCACATTCTAGCCGTTTTCTTTTATACGCAGTGGCGTGAGACATCAAGTACGAGTTGGATCAGTTTGTACTCAGCTGCCACGCCTTATTAAGAAAGGCTTGCTTAAATTATTCACATCCTCGTTCACAAACTAATCCATCTCACCCTTTCGAGATAGCTCTTCTTATCTAATCACATCTCTTTTTTCTTATAGTGAGTTTAACATTTTTCCTACCAAAAGGAAATTTTTTTTTGTTTCCAAAAAACATTCACCTTTACTTAGCTAAATGAAGCACATATGAGTCAATTTACTAAGTTTAAGTTGTTATAAGCTTTCAAAAGAATCTCAACTTTGCTTGATTTGAAAATATATCTAGACAAAACTTTAAGGGATAATTCAAGTGGTAAAAAAGACGAGCTTTAAAGTCAGACGTACTGAGTTTAAATTTTAACAACCTTTTTGGAGTCAGGTTTGAAAAATTTATTCTTCATGAATACTCTAATGATGACGTGAATGACTTGTTTTTGATCGAACAAGGTAATAAATTATCAAAGTGCGAGTAAGTTGGCCTAGACCCCTGATTGTTGAACCCAGAAAAGAAAAAAAAATATATCTAAAGAAAGTCCCATATACTGTTATGTACACATGCACTATTTAACATTTGGAATATTAATTCACTATCATATATCTCTTATTGCAAGAAAATGTAGCATTATTATTATTTGTTCTCCTTTCCGGTTGTTGAGTCAGTAATCCGTTGAGTCTATGATTCTATGTAAAACAGTAGTCTTGGAGGAAACCAATGGAAAGAACAAGAAAATCGCCTCAAGTGTTTACAGTATTATTAGATGCTCTACTATGAATAAGACATCAACAAAACAAAACCACCATTTATATTTGATTCTACATATCTTATACGCACATAGATTTCAGGGCGGGCATGCTAAATTGTCATGCTAAGAATTTGAGGTGAAAAGTTTGTCTAACTTGAAAGAGAAACTATATACAATTATACGTTACGTTTCATATAGTCAATTATCACGACAATAAGATAAATTGACGGAATTGTTTTATCAAGATTTTTCAAAACTTAATTACTTATACAAGCATGCCATGTGATCACAGGTCTGCATTTAAAGTTGAGTTATGGGACGGTAATTCAAACCTGAATTTTTTTTACTACTTTTTTCCAAAAGAACCACAATTAGGTAAAGCAAGGTGGAGGGCATTACCGTAAATTATGAAAAACACTGAAAGCATCCAATTCCCCAAACAGCACCTTGAATTTTTTTCAGGAGTTCTGACGTAGATGATGACTTCGTATTCTGACACGTGTAATCCGGCATTGATTTACCTCATGAGTTTTTAAGGTTTCATCTTTCTCTCTCATCTCTCTATTATCAGTTTACCACCCCGTACCCCACTTGTTTGATTTCACCATTCTTCTATTGTGTTCGTCTACCTCAATTGTTGACCGTCCGATCACCACTATTCACAATCACAACCATTAAGCATAAAGTTGGCCCAACCAAGACTTACACCTCCAATACACTATATCATTTCCTAATTACATGTTTATGATAGTCTTGTCATGGTTAGGGTCTTAAAAATCCACAAAAAATAATCTCACACAGAGAGAGAGAGAGACTGTATAGACTCATGGGGTAATAGCATATATTTGAGATTTGGAGTGTGTTCGTATATATGAAGTGATACAAGGTAGGAAAAGCTAAAAGAGAGATATAGAGACGAAATTTGTGTTTTTGGGAGGTTCTGTGATAAGAGAGAGAGAGAGAGAGAGAGAGAGAGAGAGAATGGGGAGAGGTAGGGTTGAGCTGAAGAGAATAGAGAACAAGATCAACAGGCAAGTGACCTTCGCTAAACGAAGGAATGGTCTTTTGAAGAAAGCTTATGAGCTTTCTGTCCTGTGCGATGCTGAAGTCGCCCTGATCATCTTCTCCAATAGAGGAAAGCTCTTCGAGTTTTGTAGCAGCCCAAGGTATAACCTATAAAACAAACTTTTTGTGTCTATACATTTTTATGTACAGTCATGTATGCATAAGCATTGCTTTTTTTTTTTTTGCTTCCACTCTCATGTTTTCTCTCTCTAGATTCTATTTTTCCATTTTGTATTTGGCGTTTTAGATCTAAATAGTTTGTAGAGAGATTTTTTGCAGTTTCAAGTGTTTGTTGAACTTGTGAAAGAAGGAAAATAGTCAAAAGGAAATGTGACCTTGTTCTCTCTCTCTCTCTTGGTGCTGAGTTTTTGCCCTTTCTGTGAATGTCTCGGTGTTTATAGAACTTTGTGCTTGAGATGTTGTTAGATCTGGAAGTGGAAACCATGAAAAGAAGATCACTGCAATGAATGTTGGGTTTTGGTTGAATGATTTGTGTTTTTGCTTCCAAGAGTCTTGACTTTTTGCTTCTTTCTGATTTAAGACTCAAAAGCTTTTGGATTTCTTGATGTTTAGTACTGCTTTTGTTAAATTTTGTGCTGCAAATTAGTCTGATCTATTTATTTCTTTTAAACATCTGCTACTGGATGAAGCTGCCTAATTAGGAAATTTGTTTTCCAGGGAAGTATTGAAATACCGATCTAGATTGTATCTTTTTACTCATCTCAGTTTTTTGCACTTTCCCCTTAAATTATTCTGCCATTGCTCAATATGAATTTTGATGTTTACTGGATCCCGTTGGAAATACAAATATGGATGATTTCATTTGTGATTTCCAAGTGTTTAGGGTTTTGAGTTTCAACTTTCTTAGTTATTTGTATTTTCTGGTCTTTGTACATATTTCATGGCCCTTCTTTCTCTGCCTGTTTTTGTTCCATAATCTTCTGATTGGTGTTTCTATCTGATCTAAATTCCTCTTTGTGTTTTGAGTACAAATTCAGAACAAAAACTTTTTCATTACTTTCTTTTCTCTTCACCAGACACAAGTGGAGACATTAATAAGTGTATTGCCAATTGGTCCACCTGAGATCCAATCAGTCTTAGATGGCCCTCTCTCTCTCTCCCTCTCCCCCACCCGGGCATCTGATCTGACCCTAGGGTCTGGTTTTCATTCCCCCTTTCAACTCCTCCTCTGATCGTCCAAATCATGTCAATGTCTTCCATATTTATGTGTGATTTTCCAATAGAACAATCTTTATATCGAGTTACCTGCTTACTTGGTCTTAGCGTTCCTCCCGTTATTTGATCTAACAGAAATATTTTAATAATTTCCCAAGCTTTATAAGTATATTACACACACAGTTACAGTTTTTTCAAACAAAAAAAATAAAAAATAAAAAAATTGGTAAGTAATTTTTGGCATATGTAATATAGTTAAAGCATGACTTACTGTTTGTGTCTATGGGGTATTACATATGATCAAGTGTTTTGATTCCTCGATATGTGGAAGAAATTACATAGGTAGTTAACATCACAAGGATCACTCTTGACAAGACACTTTTTTACATGTACCATATTAGGCTCTTCACGTGCTTAAGCTAATAGGACATTTATGCAAGGGATAAAAGTCAGCTTTTCATGTTCTTAACTTTGGTTCGGATAATAGATTGTGCTCGGTGCTTGAGGTGATGGAGTCAATGAATAATCCAAGTTCGTCCGTTAGTCACTCTTTCTAATTTAAATATCTACTGTGTACTGTAATTTCAGTATTGTTATTTGTGGTTTTTTTTTTTTTTATATTTATAATAAAACCTCTGCAAGTTCCAATCATAAAAGACTGTTTGTTCCAGTCAATAAACATTGTTCCTCGAAAAATATATATATATATATATATATATATATACTTGATAGATCACAAAGATTATTGGCTTTAGGAATATGCACCAATTTCCTTCATGTTGTATTGTTTGCCCTTTTTTCCCTTCCTTTTATTTTTGGGTTAAGGGTGCAGTTATGGATGATGCCTAGGTAAACATCTCATAACAAATTCATAGTGTGATTTTTCCTGACTGCAACATGCCTCTTCTTTTTTGTCGAAAAGTAAACAAAATTCATTCATCTTCTGTAATATATACCATGATGTACAAGGAGGGATCATCCCTTACATAGCAAAATAAAGTTTAATTAGAAGCAAAAACCATGATTCTTGCCAGTTTAGGCTTTTAAAACTACAAAATTTTCAAATTCCAAAAATTGTTTGTGCCCCAGAGCCACAGAAGAAACTTATATAACCTCATTGTTTCATAATTTATAGGGTAAACTATAATTTACGCCCTTGAAGTATACACCTATTTCCTAATTGATTCTTAAAGTTTCAATTGCCACAATCCAATTCTTAGAATTTTAATCGTCTTTCTATTTAGTCATTACATCGAAACTCACAAATTTATTATGATGGAATGATCTTCCGTGACTAACACAAGACTTCGGTTAAATGGAATGTTTGTTTGTGAAATATATTTTATGTATGGGCTAGAAAACCTTATTTTATTTCATTTGATTTAGAGAAATAAAGGATAACAAACTTGAAAAAAAAATTTAATACTGAAACAAAGAGAGAAATAACAATTTAATTGAGAGAAATACTTATTGCTAGACAAATATACTCTTATGAGCAAGTTTTGTGATGTCTTTTTGTCGGAACAATTAATAGATTAGGATGGAAGGACATGATTGAAACCAGGCTAGAATTTTAAGAGCGTAATTGTTTAATTTAAAACTTTAGAGATCAAATAACCATTATGTGCATATTTAAAGATTATAAATTATAAATGACCCTACTTTATATGCTCAGCACTAGAGTTAGAATTTGTCTTCTCTTTATGCATTCTTTTGTGCTGGAAGTCTCCTTATCTTGCAAGATCCTATATATCTTCCCTGTTTGCTTTAACAACTTTGCTCTTCATTTCCAGTTCAGTCATCATCCAAAGATAATTGAAGACAGGAGATCTAATTTTGTAATACTCGTTCCAGTTTGGATGATATGATCCTTAACATGTACAGAATTCAGTGAAAACTCAGTTTTTGAACATGCTTCATATTTCTTTGCATGACTAACAAATTGTAAATTGTATTTCGATCTCTTTTCATTTTTTTTCAGTGTTTCTATCATCTTTTAATTGGTATATGTGTTAATTATCCAATGCAGTATGCTCAAAACACTAGAGAGGTATCAAAAGTGCAACTATGGAGCACCGGAAACGAATGTATCCATGAGGGAGGCCCTGGTAAATATGTTATTTTCTATGAAAGCTTTTATGCCGATCTTGGATAAAATAAAAACATTACTATATCGACATTAATGATCTAATCATAATGTGGTAGCAACCAAAGGTGTGTGCCCTTTTCCCGGATTCATAGAATTATTTACCTCCTGTTAAAAGACATTAGAAAACCTGGGTTTTTATATATAATACACAAGTCTCATGACTTCTTAATGGAGCCTTAGGCAATATACAAAACGGGTATAGCAATGCACCAACATGCTATGCTAAAAGCATAGCCTTGGTAAAGACAACCGAAAAAGACTACTAGAAATTTAGACTCTAGGCATACTTGAGCACTCATGCCTGTCGTCACACATCGATATACAAAGAGAATCGAGGGTTTATTGTGTAAGGTATGTGCGGTATTAGCAATTCCTCGCATATAAACAAGGGAGCCATTAAAAAGTGACTAAAACGCTTGAAATGAGTATTACCCGAACTAATCACATAAGCAATAACACTTTTTGGTTAAATCCCATTAATTAATTATAACGATATTATGGAAATGCTGCACGGACCCATACCAAAGAAGAAGAAATCATTTAAACCTATTAAACCTTAATCTTAACATAACAAACATGTTAAACTTGATATTATCTCTNCATGCCTGTCGTCACACATCGATATACAAAGAGAATCGAGGGTTTATTGTGTAAGGTCTGTGCGGTATTAGCAATTCCTCGCATATAAATAAGAGAGCCATTAAAAAGTGACTAAAACACTTGAAACGAGTATTACCCGAACTAATGACATAAGCAATAACACTTTTTGGTTAAATCCCATTAATTAATTATAACGATATTATGGAAATGCTGCACGGACCCATACCGAAGAAGAAGAAATCATTTAAACCTATTAAACCTTAATCTTAACATAACAAACATGTTAAACTTGATATTATCTCCTTCCTTTCTTCCATCTGTGCTTGATTATACGCGAAAAGCAAAAACTTTCTGTGAGAGCTCCATATCATATTACATTGTGTTCGGGACTGGACCTGGTGTTATCCTTTACGTGGTTTACACCTTGACTTGATTGGTTGCAGGAAATAAGCAGTCAGCAGGAGTATTTAAAACTTAAAGCGCGTTACGAAACACTACAACGAACCCAAAGGTAAGAAATATAAATTGGACCGATTCTCATACATGAGAAAACAAAAACCAGGAAAATGTATCTATCACTTGAACCTTTGATTGCAATGTCCCTAGGAATCTTCTCGGAGAGGAACTTGGCCCTTTAAACAGCAAGGAGCTTGAGTCGCTGGAGAAGCAGCTCGACATTTCACTCAAGCATATCAGATCAACGCGGGTACTTGGCTTATTATTTTCAAATAACTGAATACATTCACCTAGCTAGTTTGACATGAGCACTTTGGCAGACATTTAAGTGGTGTGTGTGGTCCAATATAAAAGTCATGCATTTATCAAATCTTTACCTCCCCATTCATCATTTTACAGACTCAATACATGCTGGATCAGCTCTCAGATCTTCAAAGAAAGGTATGAAACTACTATAAAACTTCCTTTACATACTATATATGCTCCTTCTATCTGGTTGACTGTAACATTGTTAATTCCTATATATACAGGAACAAGCACTTACTGAAGCAAACAGAACACTGAGACAAAGGGTGAGTAACATTCTGAACCATGTAGATACTTTTATATATTGAGGGTGAACTATCTGTACCTTATTTTATCAGTCTGAAAGCTGTTTACATTAGATTCAAAGTTTGTTACATAACTAAATCAGGGATTACTGTCATGAAGTCTCCCACCAAATCTTATACATTTGTCAATAGCTATACAGTTTGAAATCTTAATGTATCATTATGTGTTGTGAAGGTGCAATATGGTGAACAATAAAAAAAAATCAACATAAGAAAACAAGATTTATGTGGTTCGGTAGACATCCTACCTAAATCCACGAGAAGGGTTTCTTTTATTGTTGTTATTAAAATTCAAAAAAGTTATAACGTATTTATAGGCACCTATTAATAACCCTAATCTTAGTCCAACTAGCAAATCTAGTCCAAGTAAATCTGGTACATTAATTTCTGGTAAACTTTCTAACTTATCAAATCCTGGTAAAAATCTTCTACCAAAGGTACATTGGAAATCCCAAAAATACTCCTTTCCAATTGTGAGGTATTCACCGCACCTCAAACCTATTATTCAACCAGATAACCAGACAGTATTAATCTTGAACTATCCATTGACTTTTGGTAGGGAACACATCTCTATCCAAAAGTAAAATCGAATGAATATTATCCACATTAAAATTAACAAGACCTAATTAATATTAGCTACTCCCTATTTCCAACATTGTGGCACTACTAAATTGGCTTATACTCCTTCCGTTCGTAAATATCTGTCGTTTTACACAATTTTTTTTGTTTCATAATATCTATCATTTTCTAAAATCAAAGCATAATAAATATTTTTTTTCTAAATTTATCCTTATCTCTATTTTCTAATAAGTTCTTAATAAATTAAGTGTAGGTTAAGTATCTTTCATATTCATTTCCTTCTCAATACATATTGAATAAGGGTATTTTAGTCTTGTGTAATTATTTTTTACTCATATTAGAGCTATTTAATAACTTATTTAATCCTTGTATAAAAACTTTAAACGAAAGATATTTAGAAACAGATGAAATAGTTAACTGTTTGAGTTGATTGACCAACAATGATCATATTATGTGAACAAAAAGTTCTTGGATGGGGTCAATAATGACGGTATCAAGATGCCACTATGTCAGGATACCTTATTTGTCTCTTCAGGAAGTTGAATATCTCCAGAAAAGACTCTTAGTTCAATTCTATTCTATTAATTTCAGCTGATGGAAGGAAACCAATTAAGTTCGTTTCAGTGGAATCCACATGCACAAGATGCGGGGTATGGCCGACAACTAGCTCCACCCCAGGGTGATGCCTTCTTTCATCAATTGGAGAGTGAACCGACACTACAAATTGGGTAAGACCACCTGAATTTTGAAGCAGCAAAAGCATTAATCTTTTTCTTCAATGCTGTGCCCAGTCGTTCGTTGTAACAAGATCACAGGATTGATTCAAAGAATAATATATCACACTAACCCAGCCAAGGTAAGAGAAAAATAAGGATATTTGAATTTATTTATAATTACAATGTTAATTTTCAGATTCCAGCATGATCCAATAACAGTTGCAGCAGCAGGCCCCAGTGTGAATAATTACATGCCAGGATGGTTGCCATGAAACAAAACAGCAAAACAAGCCATGGTATGCTTCTTCCCATAAGAATCAGCAAATCCAATGTTTTGTGTGAGTTATTGAAGATAAAGACATGTAATGATATTATTCCTATAAGACAGTCCTATTATAACTCCATAAGTAATGCTGGATGCATGCTCTATCACTGAATTTCTTTCTGCTTCCTTTACTTGGCTGCACATCTGCTTGTAAAGAAAACTTACTTCGCAAGGATTCACAACATTTGTATCCTTGTGTTGCTTGTTTCAAAGCTTCTTGTCTAAGGCTACAAATAAATCGAGGTGTTCATCAATAGTTTTGGGTCGGTTCACTTTAAAATAAGCTTTTTTTTCTTTTTTTTTTTTCAGTTAGTAGACAGATAGAAATTGGGCTCGATTTCAAAATGAATTCAGTACACAACAGGAGTCCAACAATGACTTGTTAGTTTGTTAGACGCGTCAACATTTCTATATAAATATGCAATATTTAATATAATATATATTAGATCAACGAATCAAACTTGAATAAGATGTTTGAAACTTATCTAGATCTTGCGCAAATGTGATAATTCTTTGAAAACAAATAAGCCAAGCTTGAACATTCGACTCCTTGGCTTGGTTCAATTCATTTGGACGCCCATCTTAGGGGAAGAATGCAGGAAGTAGGTTGCCAAATGTTCTTACCCTTTTTTTTTTTTCTTTTAGAAATGAACACTATCTAATATTGGAAGACATAATTAATCCAATGAATGTCTTGAATTAAATTCTTATAACATTGCTTGTATATATATATATGTGTGTGTGTTTGATGTTGCTTCAAAATTGAGCCACGAGTTTATAACCCNTAATCCAATGAATGTCTTGAATTAAATTCTTATAACATTGCTTGTATATATATATATATGTGTGTGTGTGTGTGTGTGTTTGATGTTGCTTCAAAATTGAGCCACGAGTTTATAACCCCTCAACTAGAACTCAAGCTAATACACTGCCATGGGCACGTCAAAGCTCCATTGGGCAACTTGACAAACCTTAACAGGAAAAAAAGAAGATGACATAGAAAAGAACTAGAGAGAGTCAGAGATGTCAACTATTGAATGTGTAATGGGTCCTAATAAATATTGAGAGTTACGGTTAAATCAATGGTTGAGATTATCAAATTTAATTTTTAAATCTATTTTTTAAGTTCATATTGCATTACTCGTTCTTCTCATATATTAATCCGGAAGCCGAAGACTTTAAAGCCTTTCTTCGNAAAAGAAGATGACATAGAAAAGAACTAGAGAGAGTCAGAGATGTCAACTATTGAATGGGTAATGCGTCCTAATAAATATTGAGAGTTACGGTTAAATCAATGGTTGAGATTATCAAGTCTAATTTTTAAATCTATTTTTTAAGTCTATGTTGCATTACTTGTTCTTCTCATGTATTAATCTGGAAGCCGAAGACTTTAAAGCCTTTCTTCACCACATTGGCTGCTGGACCCGATCCAACTACCAGTTTCTGATTCTCCATCTTTTCTCTCTCTTCCTTTGCCATCCCAAAATTACCATTTTGTCCTGATCCCAGACACAGATGCACCTCCACCGCGCCACAATTGCTTGCGCCACCTTTGTAACCAACGTCAATAATCCAACCCTTTGATCCTCCTCTGCTCTTGTTCAAGTAGAAAGCAACAGTATCATTTGCTTTTAAATCCTTTTCCTTCACGAATCGATTCCAACCCCTTGTGAAGACATAACTTTGGCTACTCGTCCAATAACAATAACGAAACTTCCACAACCTCATCTCCCTATCATGGAAACCTAGCTGCACATCATCTACATTCCCACAATTCTCATTTTCTTCTGTTCCTTCAACGATTTCGGGGAAGTACTTAACAGCATATTTCTTCGGTATCACGAGTCTATTAAGCTGACCCACATCACTTGGAGTTAATTCCTTCTCAAAAAGTAGTCTGCAAGAAAACCCTCCATTGGCATGCACCAGATTTAGACCTATTTCCTTTTCAAACCTTTGATTCCTCAGAAATTCATCAAATTTTGATGGATACGATCCATCCTTGATCATGTTCAATATTGCTTCCGTACAGAAATGGCTTTGAAATATCGGCTCTTGGACGGTGTGTTTGGTCCAAGGAAAGTTCCGGTGGGAGTCTCCACTCCGGAGCTTGGTGGCCGCACTGTCATAGGCCATGGCGGCTTCCTTATCGGACTTGAAGGTTCCTAGCCATACCCGCTGGTGGTTTGCGTAGATCTGCGCACCCCAGTGGCCATTATGCTGTGGAACCACCCCTTTGAATTTAGTCCAAGAAGCATTATGGCCGTCAGACCTTGAACGCTTGCATGCAAGAGTTAAATAACTAGTGGTATTAGAATCTGAAGATTCTTCAATTAAGTTCACTCTAATTGCACTTGAAACAATGCTTTCAATCTTCTCATCCATTGGAATCTGAGGAAAAGCACATTACAACAATGCCCACAAAAACATAACCAACACTAAAAACAATTATTAATTCAACAACTTAAAATAAGCAGAGAAACAATCAAGAAAGAGACCAGATTATATATTAAGCTAATTAATAACTGTTAATAAATAGACATGAACTGACCCTTGTTAGAAAGAGGGAGATAGAGAAAGGCAGAGAGAGAGAGAGAGAGAAGGAGATACAAACATACCTGGCAGCAGCGTTGAAGGCGATGCGGCTGGGCGGTTGATGGCTGTCGTTAGCGGCACAGAGAGAGAAGAGATAACAGGGATGGACTGAGAGAAAGGAGATGGGGCTATTGAAGGCGGAAGACAGTTGGGCAGCTTCACAGATGAGGGCATAGAGATATTAGGGCAAGAGGGGAGAGAGGATTCCATTTATGTTGGGGGTGAGAGATTGTCGGCTGAGAGAGATTCTTGGAAGAGAGGGAGAAGATTTGTGAGATATAGACAGAGGGGAAAATTAGTGATTTATGGTAGCAAAATGGAAAATTTAAGATTAGTGATTTATGGTATCAAAATGGAAAGTTGGTGTCGGGACTTGGGAATGAGAAAAATCACATTCTTGGGAGAGAGGGAAACAATCCGTGAGACATGGACAGGGTGGAAGAATAGCCGCTTGATTTAGTGTATACAAATGGAAAGTGCCAATAAATTTGAGATTATTTGAATCGTATTTTATATTGAGATTAGGTCGTTCTATATGTTTTTGTTTTATTTTGAATTGTATTTGAAATTTAAAATTCTATTTACTTTATTATAGACTTTCAACCTTCTCTCTTTAAATTTTTTTGAAAACTTTCTTAACAATATCAATACATCAATTTCTTTAACATTCTTGTTTATTCAACGTGACTCGACACAATATATTCAATAAATAGATTGTATAAGTCATATTCTGTAATTTGTTGAACAAATGAATGATATATTTTATTACAATTTTGATTATTTTAATATTTGAGTTGAAATAATTTTGATACATGTTTAAAACACAATATAAATTTGTTTAATATAACTCGATTGTTAGACCTACTATTACAGACTTTATTCTTTGATTTTTTAAAATTTATCCTAATGATTTGGAGATAGATGTGAGAATTATTTTTTTTACAATTTTTTTCAATTAATATCAATATGTTATGATCAAGCTGCAAGAGAGATTGACTTCGCTTATTGGTTATTTATTGCAAGAAAAATCATTAGCTGTAATCACTTTAATAACAATATTTCTGATGAGAAAATTAAGAATTTTTTTTTTTTTTTTTGGGATTTGGTAACCTTAAAGGAAGTTGTTAATTTTATTGTAATCTTATCATAGCAACTATATTAAATCATTTAGTTCTAATATATAGGAGTGTAACTCAACAAAATGAGCGACCTTCGTTACCAACCCCGCTGAAACCCTAGGTTCTGGACCTTAACCAACCATTCTTCTTCATCTCTCCTTCCACCCAACCTTTCCTCTAGATTTCCTTCCTCTTCTTCCCCTGCTTTGTTTTGCCCTGTTTCGCTTGCTTTGTCTTTGACCTAAGTTACCCAATTTCGATCTAATTTCGGCTTCAATCAACCTTTCTCTCTTCGTGTCTTCACTTCATCCCTTCCTACGCACCTTCTTTTTTTTGGGTTGTTCATCATCTATTCATGGGTGATAGTTCTACTGGCCCTTTCATTGTGGGATCTGATCTAGAGCGGGGAGGCATGGTCACTATCGATAGTTGCAAATTGATGAAAGCTGCCTCAAATTCACAGCAGGAGCCACTCACTATACCTACCACAACCAAAGGACATATCAAGGCCAACTTGGAGAGGGGGAGCAGCGGTCCAAGTTGTAGTATGGATTGTGGTACTGTAGGTGGAGCCTACCGTACACCTTGGAACCAAATTCTGAGCCCTGACAGTGCTGGCATATCCTCTAACCCAGCTAAACAAATGAAGTTTAGATATATTGAGCCTATCAAACGTGATTCCAAGATTATTGTTTAACCCCCCCCCCCCCAAGAAGTAGCTACTCAAGGTAGCAAGGATTGGCAAACCTATTTGGTGGCTTATTTCACCGAGAAGAAACTTCCATTTTCTACAGTGAGTTTTCTAGCTCATAAGATGTGGGATAAGCTGGGCTTGTTAGAGGTTTATGCTAATGATAGTGGATTTTTCTTCTTCAAATTCATGGATGAGGAGGCAAGAGTCAAAGTGGTGGAAGCTAGTCCATGACTCTTCTCTAGGAGACCTTTGATCCTGAGGAAATGGTTTCCTAGTTTCAAGATGGCTAAGGAGGACCACTATGTTCTTCCTGTTTGGGTCAAATTGCATAATGTACCCCTTCAATTTTCGAGTGAGGAAGGAATCAGTCACTTGGCTGACACCCTTACCTCCACTAAAAAAAGGATTAGTTTCTTACGTGTTTGTGTGGAGGTTCATGTAGCTGAGCAATTGGTCAATTCCTTTGATTTAGATGTGGGCTCTGGGGATTCGAGTGAATTACTTGAGATCAAGGTTGAGTACCAATGGAAGCCTAAGCAATGTCTTCGATGTAAGATCTTTGGGCATAACAATTCCTCCTCTCCTAGACAAACTTAGTCCAGCAATGAGAAGCAACATACATAATTCATAAACAAAGGGAAAGCCATTTCTTCAATGGTAATTGTTGATCCGCTTATGATTGTGAGCGAGCCTTAGGTTGAATGTTCTATTAATATTCTAGGATCTAGCTGTAACACCCCAAAACACACCCTAGACGACATTACATTCTAAAACCATTTATATTATGAAAGCACTAATATAATCCCTTAAGAAATAAGACTGCATTTGTCATCCACGAATATTTACAACATTATCCAAAAGAATAAGCCCAAGTCATGGCTATTACATCTCAAAAATTAATTAAAGAAGCGCAGCGGAATAAACAAAAGAAGCTAGACTACACAATGTTCCAAAAGAATGTCCTAGTCTAGTACAAAAGGAAAGGAAGTTGCTCTATTCGTCCACCTCGGGATCCACACTCCCGTTCAGTGGAGTATCCAAAGTAACGGGCTCCTCGACCCTTACGTCCTCCTCCTCAAGCGGGTAACCTGAAAAATGTTAGCGATAGGAAGTGAGCACAAAGCTTTATAGAAAAATTATCCCAAACCCATACAAGGTTTAAAAAAACATTTAAAATGGTCGGTCTCAATTTTAACATAACATAAATACATAATTTGAAATAAAGCAGTGACATTTAAAAAGGATCTCAAGTTTATTTAAAAATATTACTTAAATGAATAAACGAGCACCACATACAAATAATAATCATTAATTATCATAACCAATTCCCAACAATTCTTTCGGTAGGTGGCATATTTTGTGGTAACCTCCACCCCCCTTTAGGTCACCTTTGATTCTCAAGCATCCTTATCGGGAAACTCTTAAAAATGGATGAGCACCCTTACATGGAATCTCTCACCAATCACTACATTATTTCTCAAGCATCCTTACCGGGAACCTATTGGGAAGGGGTGAGCATCCTTACAAGAAACCTCTCATTTATGTGCATCACAAACAACTCAACCAAGCATACAATTCTAACATTCATCTCAATTTACAAACATCTATCCAAAATCCCCAAAATATATCATGTAACAATTCCATAACCAACTAAGAAAATACATGAGATCACAATAACATCATTTTTCTACCCAACACAAAGCACTAAGGTTTCGAAATCCATAATAAAGAAAGCATTTAGGAAGAAAATACATCACTCTCCAAAAATTAAGATTTTAAAACTAGAAAGGAGATTCCATGGGTATTCTACTCTACTTTGTTCAAAACATGTAATCCTTTNTACATCACTCTCCAAAAATTAGGGTTTTAAAACTAGAAAAGAGATTTCATGGTTATTAAACCCTACTTTGTTCAAAATATGTAATCCTTGCAAAAAGTCTAAGAGAGGATGATTCCACAGCATGTATATATCATTGATAGCCAAAAAATACATATATAAATACCCTAGCCTCAATGTAAGTGAATGAGAGAAAACTCCTATCTTGAATCCTTAGCTTTGGTGTGAATAATAAGAATATTTGATCTTAAATCATCCTTGAATCTCTTATTTTTCCCTTCCTTTCTTCCTCTCTAATGCTCTCTAGGGTTCCGAGAGGTGTAGGGGTGTAAGGGGAGTGAAGGAAATGAGAGCAAATGAGATGAAAATGAGTTTAAAACATAGCAGCCCCAAAAAATACTATTCTTAAGCTGTTTTGAGTTTTTTCAAATTTACGATTTTACCACTAAGAATCTTGAATTTGATCCATATGACTACCCTAAGGTTTGTCGATGTTTCGGATTCATTTTTAATTTTATTTTAACCTAAAATATTTATGTTTATGATTTATCTCAAAACTCAAGTCAACGTATACCCGAAACACTAAAGTTTCTATTTTACTCATCCGAATCGACTATTAATGAAGTTTTACGATGTTTGTAAATAAAAGGTGATAAAGGGTGCTTCTTAAAGCCTTTTATACTTATTTGAAGCCTAAAAGTACTCATTATTCTTATATTTTGATTTAGGATGCAAATAGACATTAAATGCAAAACGAAACTAATTAGACTATTTTGACATCATTTCATTATCTGAGCATAACTCTCTCATCTGAGCTCCGATTGAGATGATTCAAGATGCTATGAAATGATAAGAAAGAACTCTAAAACTTTCATGTTTTGATTTTTAAGAGATATTGACTGTATCAAAGTCTAAATTAGATTTGAAGTTACAACCAGTGCACTGTTCACGTGCACTGTTCAAGCTAATTGGGCTGTCAAAATAGCCCATCGTTATCTGGGCATAACTCTCTCATCCGAGCTTCGGTTGAGATGATTCAAGATGCTATGGAATGATAAGAAAGAGCTCTAAAACTTTCATGTTTTGAGNAGCTCCGGTTGAGATGATTCAAGATGCTATGGAATGATAAGAAAGAGCTCTAAAACTTTCATGTTTTGAGTTTTGAGAGCTATTGATTGCATCAAGGTTGAAATCTCGCTTGAAGTTGCAGCCAGTACACTGTTCATAGACTGTCTTCGTCCCTTTTCCATTTTCAATCCATTTCTAAGCCAACCAAATCCATCTCAAACCTCTCCAACACATATTCATACACCAAACCTATTTAATACAAGTTCTAGGACCTAAAATTTCATATTTTCACTTATTAAAACCAAATTTCAACTATTATTTTCACTAACATTTTAAATCTCTACTTTTTTAATCTACCAAATTCAAACACAAATCACTACATATATCCATATTTTTTTAACCACAATTATTTACTATATATCTATATACATATATAAAAGAAAATGCGGGGTGTTACACTAGTGTTGTGGACCTTATGCATTCAGAGGAACCTTCTCAAAAAGAGAATGTGGTGACTTTTATCTCTGTTATTGATAATTCTCCTGATATGTGCCCTGCCCCCATTTCCCCAAACAAATTTGGTTGTCTGGATCTACAAGGAGGTCAACTTGTGGTGGTCCTTTCCCCTAAAGTTGTTGAAAAGTCGAAGGGGTCCTATGAGATACCCAAATCCCCTAGAAAGCTACTTCGTAAAGTCAAGAAGAAGAAAGGTAAGAACAAAAAAATCAAGGGTGGAAATATGGAGATTCCCCTTTGCCCCTCTATCTCTAAGTCTCCATGTTGAACATCGCTTGTTGGAACATTAGAGGCTTGAATGACCCCGTTAAACAGCAAGAAATAAGGAAAATCATTAGCAATCTACATCTTGAATGATTAGCATTGTGGAAACAAAAGTGAAACCGGTAAATAAGGATTTTATTTTGAGGAAAGTTTTTAAGCAGTGGAATTCGACCTCCAACTATAGTAGTCACCCTTTTGGTAGAATTTGGGTTGGGTTGAACCCGAATGTTTTGAAGGTAAATAAAATTATTGAAACTGATCAACTTATCTTATGCAATGTTCAGTCCATTGATGGTATTTTTGATTTCTATGTGGCTTTTGTGTATGGGGCCAATGATGACCTAGAAAGAAAGAGACTTTTGGGTGATCTCAAATATTTTGCTCTCACTATTGCACCTATTCCTTGGCTTGTGTTGAGAGACTTGAATGTTGTTAGAGGGGTTGGTGAATCTGTGGAGTGTTCTGGGAGAAGAACTATTGCCATGGAGGATTTTGATGAATGCTTGCAAAGTGCTACTCTTGAAGACCTAAGTTATTTTGGGCATTTTCTCACCTGGTGCAACAATAGACATGACTGTGACATTGTTTGGAGGAAACTGGATAGAGCTCTTGTCAACGAATATTGACTTCAAAAGTTTCAAGTTTTGAAGCTGTGTTTTTGTCACCTGGAATTTCTGATCACAGCCCAATTTTAGTGAGGATTGGCCCCCAGAAAGTGAAAGGTAGATACCCATTCAAAATTTTTAATTTTTGGGCTGAAAGGGAGAACTTTATTCACATTATTGCACAAGTTTGTAGGGAGGAGGTCCATGGTACTCTACAATACCGAGTGTGCACCAAACCAAAAAAGGTTAAAGTTACTCTGAAGTTATTGGGGAAGGAATCTGGAGATGTGTCTAGCGTGAGCTTGACCCTCTCAACCCCACACTTAAAAGGCAGGAGGAAGTCCATATGCTTAAGTTAACTAAAGCCGCCAGAGAAGAGGAAAGCTTCTATAGACAAAAATCTAGAGTCAAGTGGTTACAAGAGGGGGATAACAACACTGCCTATTTTTTCAAGTCACTTACCAATAGAAGAAACAGAAAAAAGATCATGTCTCTAAGAAGAGCTGATCGGTCTCTTGCTTGTAATGAACCTGAGGTGAAGAAAGAAGTCGTTGATTACTACATTCAATTTCTTGGGGGTTCTTTTCCAACTATGAATTCTTTTGACAGGAAGGTCTTGTTGAGCAAGGTTATTCATAAAAAGATTTCAACCGAGCAAGCTCTCTCTCTGTCAAGAGATATCACTCCTATTGAAGTTAGAGATGTTTTCTTTT